GGACGGAGCGGGGTCAGGAAGGGCGATGCGCACCGCATCCCAGCCCCGAGCTCCCATTGCAGCGCGGCCGGGCCCGGATGCTGCGGGAGTAAATGGGAGCCGGGAACGGCACCCCAGAGCCCTGCTCGCACATCGAGCCCGGCCCTGAGTGCCCCGCTCCGGCTTTCAGAGTCACGCTGGAGTGCAGCGCGGTCCCGTAATGCGCTGCGGGCGCGGCCTGAGTGCCCGGCCAGGCGCTTTCCAGGCAAAGCGCGCTGCACCCGCATCCGGGCAGCGCCATTAACGCGTGGCCGTGCAGGTGGGCGCCCCGCAGCCTCTGCACCACGCGCTGCTTTGGGAGCTCGGCTGCGTCCACCCGCTCGGACCGCCTGCAGGGGAAGGAAGCGGGCTGAAATCCCTCCTGCCCCTCCGCCCAGAGCCCAAACCGCGTCCCGCAGTGGCGGCACTGCGCAGCCCTCGCGGCCGCCCCGCAGCCCTCGCTGCAAGCCCAGGTTAAGAACGGATAAAAGAAGCAACCTCCAGCGCAGCGTGCCCGCTCACAGCTGCTCCGGGAGCTGCGTGCTCCGCTCCCCCCCAGCTCGGAGCCCCTCTGTCCCAAACCGAAAGCGTAGCCCCACCCGCCCCCCACGTGCAGCAACGCGGCCAAACGAGCGCGGCGCCTTTAAGAGCCCCGTGGCGCCAATTCCGCCCCACGTGACGCGCCGGTGGGCGGTGCCGCAGTTCGCGCGAGTTCCCGCCAAACGCGGCGAGTTCGGCGCGCCCGCGCCGCGCCCCGCAGCGGAGCCATCGGCGGGACCCCGCGCGGGGAAATGGCGCAGCTCCGCCTCACCGATTTCTTCGGCCGCACCAAAGCCGCCGTCAGCCACCCCGCCAAGCACGGCGCCCGCGGGCTCAAGGCTGCCCTCCTCGCTCCCCCGGGACCGCGGAACGATGGTGCCCGCTCTCCCCCGCCGCCCGCATCGCCGCGCACCCCGACCCGCAGCGCTGCCCCGGCGGTGCCGCGGATGGCGGGCAGGAAACGGAGCCGCCGGGAGATGGAAGCGGGGACCCCCGGCGGGGAGCGGGGCGGGAAGTCGGCGCGGAAGCGGCTGGAGCTGCCGCGGGATGCGGGGCCGGAGGTGGGCGCTGGGGGGGGCGGAGGTGAAAGCGGGGCACGGTGCTGTGTCCGATGTCTGATCTGGGGGCGATCCATGGTGTTTGAGTGGGAGGGGTCCCTGGTGTTTGATTTTGGGGGGCTCGGTTACAGGGCTTGCTTTGGGGTTGGGACGTCGGGTCCCAGTGTTTGGATGCGGGAAGCTGACCCGGGGTTTGGGATGGCGTTGGGAATGCCCGCACATATATGGGCAGCCCCGGCTTTCACCCCCTAATCCTATCTCTTGCTGATCCACAGCCTGCCAGCTCCCCATCGCCGGGCCCACTGGAGCCCCCCATAGCCAGCAGGATGTGCACTGCCAGCCTGGAGCAGAACAGTGGGACCTCACCGTGCCTGGAGCAGGTATGGGAATGGGGGGAGTGGGCTTAGTGCCATACTGGGGTCTCCACTTGATCACTTCCCTTTGTGCCTTCATCCTTTACTAACTGTCCCTGACCCCACAGGAGGAGCTGGCCACGCTGCAGAGCCGTCTCCAGAGGATGAGGATGAAGCCCCCCACCCAACTGCCCCCCATCCCTGCTGGGGTCGGCGCTGAGCTGCGGAGCCACCTGCAGAGCCTGCGGGGCCTGGAGCTGCGGCTCCGTGCCAAGGCAGCGGGCAGTGGGACGGGGCAGCCTGGGGTCACCGGGACAGAGGCTCCAGTGGCAGCAGAGAATAGGTGAGAGACAGTTCCGAGGAGGAAAGTGGGGCATTGCGGGGTTGCTGCCACAAGGGAAAGAGCCACAGTGCTGCTCTGCCCATGAGATGTTGCATTTCTGGTGAGAGTGGCAGCGGGGTCCCTCGGATCAGCCCTGCTGTGGGCAAAGCCCTGAGCCCAGAGGGTTTGCCATTCCCAGAGTGCTGTGAGTTGGGACCAGTGTGGGATGCTGGGATGGGAGGGAGCAGATGGGACTTTCCCCAGCCTGGGGGGCGTGCTGCTCCCATCTCAGCCCTGCAGGCTCAGGGCTGTCTCAGTGACCCCTCTCCGTTCCTAGCAGCGCACGGCTCCCCGCATACCAGCGCTTCCATGCCCTGGCACAGGACACGCCACCAGGGCTGACGCTGCCCTACAAGTACAAAGTGCTGGCAGAGATGTTCCGCAGCGTGGACACCATTGCTGGGATGCTCTTCAACCGTGCTGAGACCATCACTTTTGCCAAAGTCAAGCAGGGCGTGCAGGACATGATGCGCAAGTGAGTCTGCAGCAGCGCTGGCACGCGGCTGGGGCTGCTTCCCTGCGTCAGCCCCTGGGATTCCTCACCTCCCTGGTGCCGTTGCAGGCAGTTTGAGGAACGGCACGTGGGGCAGATCAAGGCAGTGTACCCCACCTCATACCGCTTCCGCCAGGAGAAGAACATCCCCACCTACAGCAGCGGTGTGAAGAAGTCGGAGTACCAGCTGACACTGGAGCCAATGCTGGGGGAAGGTACACAGGGCTGGGACCTGCTGGGTCTGAAACAACCTGAGCGCGGGTCAGTCCTGCAGCTCTGCTGCTGTACCCTGAGGCCTTTGCTGTGATGCTGCAGTGATGTTCTTCTCTCTCCCTGCAGATGAGCAGCTGTGTGGTCGCCCTCACCTGTCAGCATCACGCCTGCTGGAGCGCAGGAAGGAGTTCCACCGCAGCCTGGTGAACATCGTCAAGCAGCACCATGCGGTGAGCCCCAGCCCTCTGTCAGGGAGCCAGGCTGTTCTTGCACCCTGAAGGAGTGGGTGGGAGGACAGTAATGCAGCATGGAGAGCAAGGAATGCGTGGCTGCTTGGATTTCTCCCGGTTCTGGCTTTTCCCAAGCCAGCTGCCGCATTCTCTCCCTGCTGCAGGCATTCCTGGCTGCGCTGAGCCCTCCCATGGAGGTGCCGGAGGACAAGCTGACCCGCTGGCATCCCCGTTTTAACGTGGATGAGGTGCCTGACATCAACCCAGCAGAGCTGCCACGGCCACCGCAAGAGGACAGGATCAGCACAGCACAGGAGGTGCTGAGTGCAGCTCGGGGCACAATGAGCACTAAGGTGAGCAGGGAGCACCCAGTCACTGCCCCGCAGCAGCTATCCCGCCGGGGAGGGGGAGGGGGAGGGAAGGGCTGCTCCTGTGTGGGCCAATTTGGTGCTGTAAGATGGAAACACACACTGAACATCAGTGTGCACGAGGCTGGAGGAGCTGCCCCTGGGGCTGGAGGTGAGGTCGTGCCCCACACAGATGGGTCTGATGCACGTGTGGGGAGCGCTGGGCTGCTGCAGGGTGGCCCTGGGGGTGGGGGGCGGCAGCGGAGGGGAAACTTCTCCTTCCTCCCAGCCGTAACCCAACTCCTCCTCCGTCCACATGAGCAGATGGAAAAAGCTCTTGCCAACCTGGCCTTAAGAAGCGCTGAAGCCGGTGCGGAGGAACCGGCGCTTTCCAAAGCAGCATCCCCTGCCAGCACCTCCAGTGCTCTCAAAGGGGTGTCCCAGGCGCTGCTGGAGCGGGTGAGTAATTCCATCCTGGCCACGGCCCCGGGGGGGGGGGGCCACCTTTGCCTGACCCTCTTCTCGCTCCCCAGATCCGTGCTAAGGAGGCCCGGCGGCTGCAGGCACTGATGACGCGGGCGGCAGGGCAGGAGGAGCGGCTGGCCATGCTGGGCCGACTGCCGGCCATGGCCCGCATCCTGCGTGGGGTCTTTGTGGCCGAGAAGAAGCCGGCGCTGCCCATGGAGCTGGCGTGTGTCCGTATGGCTGACAGCTGCCCCACCCAGATGGCAGCAGGTAGGGGGGTGGCGGGGCTGCGGGTGGCACGGCGGTGAGCTTTGCCCGGCTGGGAGCTGAGCTGTTGTCTGCATCCGTCCCTGCAGGGGAGATGGAGAAGCACCTGCGGCTCCTGGCTGAGCTGCTGCCCGACTGGGTGACAATCCACGCCCTCCGCACCGACACCTACATCAAGCTGGACAAGAACATGGACCTCAGCCTCGTCACCGAGAGGCTGGAGAAGGCGGCCAAGGAGGCAGAAGCCCCCTGAGCCCTGCTGGAGTCTGGGCTTCCCCTGTGCAGTTCTCTATTCTTCAAGTGCAGTGAGCTCTGGCCCTGCTCCGGGAGCAAAGTGGGTGTTGATTGAGTTAGTTCTTCTGTTGGGTCCCTGCAGATTGCAGCTGCCTCTAAAGCTGAAGGCAGTCCAGGGTCAGGGGTGAGATCTGGAGCTTCCAGCCCCCTTTGTGCCATGCCCTGGATGGGCACAGGGGCTTCTTCTGTGCGCTGGGGGCGAGGAGGAAGGAGGGAGAGAAGTCGCAAAGCGCTGTTTTTGGTGTTTGGGTCTGGTTGTGTTTTTAAGGGGGAGGGAAGCACATCTCCAGCACTCGCTGGAAACGACGACAGGACTTGTCAAAACACATTTGTATTAAATGTTTTAAATAGAGCTGAGTCGCGTTGTGAACTCAGAGCTTTTCCTCGCGCTGTCTGTGCTGCTCCATGGCAAAGGGCCCCGGCCGCTCACGCAGGGAAGGGCTGGAGCACAGTCCAACTGCAGAAAGCCTCATTGGAAAAAGTGAGCGTGGGCTCTGCAGAGCTGAATGCAGCTCTTGTCAACGGGGCCGGCGTGGCTCTGGCACGGGGCAGAGGGGTGAGTGTGGGGAGAGGCTGCCCAACGTGGGGCTGCTCACCTGGGTTGGGCGAATCCTGCCTTCTGATGGAAGGGGTGGCACTGAGGTGCTGTGTGCAGGGCTGAGCTGGAGGGAACTTCGCATTGAGGGCAGCGTGAGCTCAGCAGGGCTTCAACCCAGCACATGGGACATCTCTGCTTGCTCCCCCAGGCTGAGCACAGCAGATGTGTGCCTCCCCAGGGAGCGTGCCCAGCTCCCATTCACTGCTCTCACACACACACACACACACACACACTTCCTCCTGCTTGGAAGTAGCAGCTCCAAAGTGCTGCCACTGTGAGTCATGGCATCAAGCGAAAGCAGCGTCCCCAGGTTCCCTGATGTCACCCCTTGGCTGCACACACAGCCAGCCCTGGCAGCAGCCAGGCCAGCGCTCGCCTCCGCAGAGTGCAGCTGCTTTCCACAGCTCCGTGGGGTGGAACTCATTTTCCCCTCTCTACATCACAGCCGGGGGCTGTGAGCAGTGCCAAGTGTGTGTGCTCAGCTCTGGGGCTGCCTGGGGATCCCAGCACCCAATGGAAGCTTTCCCTCAGTGGAGTGCTGAGCAGCACAGGAGTGGCTTTTTAGGCAACGGTGATAAAAGTAGGCACAATGAGGGCTGTGGGCACAGCGTGCCATCCCTATACTCTGTGTTGGGAAGGTGCTCCTCCAGCACTAGGATTCACATTGCCCAGGTGCTCCCCTCCAACCTGTGGGATGGAGATACCTGGACGCGGTCGCTGCTGCCTCCTGTAAGGTCGGGGTGGCAGTGGGGGGCTCAGGCTGCAGCCTCCAGTGCTGCCATGAGGGTCATTAACAGCTCCTGCTACTGCAAGAAGAGTGTTGAGGCAGTTTAGAAAAAATAGAAAAATAAATCAATGTTTATTGTATCAGTAAGTTCAGCCTCTGCTAAGATAGGGAGGTGGGATAGCCCAGGGCTGGCCTGAACCCTACTCAGACCAGGAGGCACAGCAGCACTGCACCCATCTGAGCTCCTCAGGACCCGCTTAAAGCTCTCCTCACCCTGCCCTGCTTTGGTAGCCTAGAACGCAACACCTGTAAAATGGCATTCTGGTCTCCCCCTCCCCAAAGAGATGAACACGAAAAAAAAAAAAAAGAAAGGATCTGTGCACTAAGCATGCTTTGATCTGTGGCTTGGCAAATGAATAGGATTCCAGCTTCCAAGCTTCTTGTGCAAAATTCAGTGCAGGTCCTCCTGCCCACCCCATCGTGACATCAAGCCAGAGTCACCACCTGCAACCTGAGAGGTGCTGCAGCAGCCAGCAGCTTCAGTCGTACTGCAGCAGGGAGTGGAAGGGGATGGCCTCCAGCTTGGCTGCTCCCCTCAGGCCCTTCAGCTCAATGACCACCAGGCACTCCAGGATGTCAGCCTTCAGCCTCGCCAGCAGCTTGCAGGCTGCACACATCGTACCTGCATGCAGAGAGAGGTTCAGCAGAGATATCCCTGCTCGAGGAGCAGCACCAAACAAAGCATGCAGCAATGCAGGGAACTCCAGCACCGTGCACAGCATGAGGTGTAGCTGCGACAGAGACTTACACACAACACGTTGCCACTGCCACCTCCCACACTGCAGGATGTTACACGGATGGTGGTTTCCATGCACGACGTTCTCAAGGTTCCCCCATGGAGGAAACCAGGGTGACCCACCCCCCCCCCAGTGCCTGCTTCTCTCACCTCCAGTTGCAAGCAAGTCATCCACAACGACCACTTTCTGTCCTGCTTCCACAGCATCGCTCTGGATTTCGAGTTCAGCCTGCAGGGTGAAAAGAGCATCTTCACTGCAGCCCTACTTTGCAGAGGAACACTTCTTAACCTGCTACCAATTAGAGCCCAAGCACAGCCTGCTGACCCCTTCCCCCACTGGGCATCACCTTGCCATATTCCAGGGCGTATGAGATGGACTCGGTGGGGCCGGGCAGTTTCCCTTTCTTTCGGATCAGCACGAAGCCAACTCCCAGTCTCTGAGCCAGGGGGGGGCCTATGAGGAAGCCACGGGAGTCCAGACCTGGGGGGGCAAGCAGCAAGAGCACTCAGAAAAGCCATTTGGGATCGACACCCCATGTTCATCTTCCCAAGTGTAAGAGCAACGTGCCCTTACGGCGATTCCCAAGGGTTAAATGCATACACTGTGCTCACCCAAACATGTCAGTGTGGTGTCCCACAGCCCATCAGTGACCACCACCCCCCAGGCAGTCCTCAAGGTTTCCCCTCAAGCTCTCCTTCACAGAGCTGAGCTCAGCTGAGCCCCAGTTATCACTGCAGCCACGCAGTCAAGGACTTTGCACAGCAGGTCATCAGCAGGCACTTGGAGTAGATTTTGTCCAGACTCTGAGCTCTGGGCTATCACCCAGCCCCAGCAGTTCCTTTCCCAGCATTTTCATTTTCAGCCTCTTTAATGCTGTAATGCATTATCACTGCTACGGCCGTCTCAGTTGGATTGAAAAAAGCTGCATGGAAAAGCAAACATGCTGGAACAGGGGCTCCCTGCCATGGGGCTGCCCAGGCACAGCACACCAAGCTTCAGTGCTCACCAAATGCCTCTTTTTTAACAATGCAATTACAAAATTGGCGCTGAGGTAGCGCTGGTTGGCATCTGCCCCATCCCAAATCAGTGTTTCAGGAAAGGACAGCACAGGGTTTTGGGCAATGCCATACTGCTGTTCCTGTACAATACAGGCCAGCAGACAATGTCCAAGGGCTATGGTATTTCCTGTTCTGTTAGCAAGGTGTCTGCCCACAGTGACCACCTGGGAGCACACAGCGCCCTGCAGCAGCCTCAGAGACTGAACACCCACCTGCAATGACATCGACTTTGGGGAAGGAGGCCCTCAGGTGATCTTCCAGAAGATCAATCAAAGCCTTGAAAGCTACAGGATCCTTCAACAGGGGGCTGATGTCGCTGCAAACAGAGGGAGAGCAGTTAGCAAACAACCAAGGGCTGCAGGTGATGCTGCTATTACACGCAGGGGGCACAGCCAGAGGAGCCCCTGCCCCATCTCCATCCCCGCTCCATCTCCATCCCTTGCTCCCTGCCCCATCCCCAGACCCATCTCCATTCCCCAGCCCCATTCCCATCCCCTGCTCCATTCCTAGCTCCTTGGCTCCATCCCTACCCCCATACTTCATCCCCTGTTCCATCTCCAGCCCCATTCCCATCCCCAGCTCCTTGGCTCCATTCTCATCCCCATACCCCGTCCCCTGCTCCCTCTCCACTCCCCCGGCCCCATTCCCATCTCCTGCTCCATTCCCCATCCCCCGCCCAACCCCAGCTCCCTGCCCCATCCCCAATCTCCCTACTCCACCCCAATTCCTCTGCCCCATTCCCACCCCCTCCTTCATTCCCAGTTCCTCGGCTCCGTCCCCACCCCGATTCCCATCCTCAGCCCCATCCTCCCGTTCCAAACCCGCACCGAAACAGCACTCCAGGCACGGGGAAGTCGGGGAAGGACCGCACGCGGTCCCGCACCGCACGCAGCCTCTCCCGGCTCATGGCGCTCCGCGCACCGACTGCGCAACCGCGGCCGGACGGCACCCGGCGGGCGGAGCTTCCGCGGCACTGCGAGGCTGCGCCGAGCTCCGCTACCGCCGTGCGCGGAGCCCCGACGTCCGGAGCCCCCGTCCCAAGTCCTGGGCACGAAGCTTTCGGTCCACGGAGCTCCAGCACCGCAAGGCGCGATGCCCCGGCTGCTCGCTGCGCTGCTCTGGTTGCGCTCCGCGCACCGCAAGGAGCTCTGCTTGGGAAAAGAGGTGCCGTGCCGAAGGGAACGTTTCCACCCCTTGCACCTCGCCCAGTGCCTTGCACAGATAGCGTTATCGACTCCTGTGAAGCTCTGGAATCGTAGCTTGTGTTTGTTGAAGCTGTTTGGGTTATGATCAGAGCAGATGGACACAGCAGAGCGCGCTGCGTCCTGGGCCAGCTGAGCACCGGTGGCCTGATCTACTGGTTGGTGACCCTGCACATAGCAGGGGGTGATCGTCCTGGTCCTTTTCAACTCGGGCCATTCTATGATTCTGCTTGGTGAGGCAGTCACGGTGCTCCTGCACAGCCCTCAGTTCCATCTCCTGGTGTGGGAACTGCCATTTGCCTGTGCAAAATCCATCGTGGGCAGGAGATGTGCTGCTGAATGATTGCAGATCTCCTTTTCCATTAGCAGATCTGATCTGGATCTGCACCAAATGCACCCAGGTACAGCTGCCCACTGAAAGCAAAGGCAGCTCTAGCATGCAGAACCCCTGGCCAAGCCTGGTGTCCGCTGCTGACAGAGAATGCAGCAACCTGGCTGTGGACACAGAGCTGCCCCTGCACCTTCCAGCTGTCCGATGAGGCTCTTGCACAGCCAGGGTTCTGCCTGCATCCCACACACCCCATGCTGTTGCATTTCCAGCTCTCGATGCACAGCCTCTAGAAGGCTGCAGGCTGAATCCTCCACTGCTCTACTTCCTTCCTTCTCCATCCATAGGGGCTGTAGGGTCTCTTAGCCCTCTGGCTGAAGGCACCTGTGTGCTGGATGGCTGGGGTCGAGCTAAAGGTCAGCTCAGAGGTTGCTCCTTCCCTCGCCAGGCTCCATTGCCAAGGCAGCCCACACAGGAGCTCAGCGTGCCTCCTTCCACAATCGTTCCCTCTCAGAGTAAGATTTTCCCTGAAGTCAGATTATCTCCTTGGCACCAGAAAAATCCTAACAGCTGTTCCAGTGAAGCAAAAACACAGATGTGGCACGCGGCCATGCGCTGGAACAGGCGCTGCGCTGCACCCGTGCTCCTGCAGAACAACTGGAAGGGTTTTTCTCTTTTGTCATCCCACCAACGACAAAACCAGATGTGAGCCGTTCCGGCAGCTCCTCTTCTTCCTGGCGGACGGAAGCGATGGAATTGCTCTGCCTACCCATGGAAATAAGCAGGAGATGGGAAGGGACCCTTCCGCCTCCTGCCCGCAGTGCCGTGGCCAGGCAGCCGTGCCCGGTGCCATCCCACCACACACTGCAGGTTCCACCTCACCTGGTTTTGCACTTACAGCCCATAGGACAGCAGTGTTTTCCAGCAGCTACACGAGGTTCCCAGGCCCTGCACTGATCCTACGGAAGGTTACACCAACCCTCCGGCTGCCAGAAATGACGCAACGTGCCAGCTCGGCTTTAAGAACATTTCTCCAGGCTTTTGTCAGCGCTGCACCTCATTAATCAATCCCTCATTTCAGAGGGCTGCACCGACCGATTTTAACATCCAGAAGTAAGCGAGTTTCCCTGTAATTGTTCAACTTTTCAAACAACAGTGCTGACTCCTGCCGCAGTTTCCATCCGAAAAGAACTTTCCTAGGACCAATTTCCAACGGTGATGTCAAAGGACTTCAGCTCTGGAATATCACATCATGGGGAGCTGTCAGCATCCACTCGCAGCTCGGGGAGGGCTGGGCTGCTCCGTGCCTGGAGGGGGGACTGCAGCCCCTTAATGGCACTGCAGGAGGGGGAGACCACCTTTGTCCCTCTTTCCCACGAGTGGATGATCGGTGACTGCAAAGTGCTTTAAGATCCTGATGTGAGAGATGTTGTTAGAACACAGCAACTGTTTGGATGGAGGCTTCAGAGCTAACTCTAATCAGCTTCACGGAGCAATTAGAAGAGCTGTGCTGAGTGTGGAAGTTTCTGTTCCGTTCAGGATGTTAAAACTTCAGCATGAAGTGGAACAAAATGCCCAAAATTTCAACATACCCCACAAGGGGAAACGAGAACGAAAATTTCCATCCAAATCCTCTGGAACGCTTCGTTTCAATTTCAGCTTTGGAAACACATGCACTTTAAACCAGTTTTTTTGGGTTTTTTTAATAATAATAATAACAAAACAAAACAAAAAAAAAAACGAAATAAACCCACAAATGTGAAATATCTTATTTCAACAGCAGAGGAATGCAGCTCCCCAGCCAGCTCCCTGGGCTCCGGATTGGTGCTATGAGCTCGCTCTGTCCCCACTAACAGGAATAAGGGACCGTGCTCTGGTGCTGCCTGCTGAGCATCCTGCTCTGAGCTGACCCCAGCTCAGGCCCTCGGAGGGGACACAGAGCTCCTTCCCTCCCCCTGCCAAAGCAGGAGGGGGATTTGGAGGCAGAGCCAATGCATTTGCTGCTGGCAAACCGGCCGATGGGTTTTTCTGCCCCTATCCCTTTTTTAGGGGGAATCAAAGCACCAGCCTGTGTATCCTAACGCCCAGGAGGGTGTGAAGTGGCTCTGGGAGGGAAAAAGGCAGAGAATTGTGTGTCAGTTGCCAATAAGTTGGATGGCAGAGGTTTCTGCTCTTTTAAGAGACCACAGGCTTTTGGCTAGGGCTGAACTTTTATTTAGTATTTATATAATTCAGACTGGACTTCGAGCAACAGCAAAACTCCAAGTGGAGGCACAGGATATAAAGAAAACCAAGAAATGGGGTCTGTTCTGTGTCTAAAGGAGATGTTTTCCAACAAAAGAAGGAGCCTCAGATGAGATTTCAGTTCTTCCCTCACAACCACACTTAAAAACTATGAGTTTGATTGGAGAGACACCACTGTGCTGCGCTCTGATAGCAAATGGAAAGCATCAAATAGAACCAGAAAACAACAGCAGAAGTGCATTTCCAAGTATTAAAACCGCTCAGAAAAGTGGAAAAGGAGCCATTTGAACTGCAAAACAGTTACTTGGCTATGGAAGAAGCAGTCAATCACTCAGTACATGCAGCCTACAGGCTCCCCAGGCTGAGGACAGCCGCAGGATCCCTGCTCAGCCAGCTGTCTGAGTGCTCTTTGGGGTGTTTGCAGGCAGCACACTGCCTCCCAACACCGGTTTCCAACCCCAAATCCCCACCTGAACCCATGCCCACCTTAAAAAGGTCTTTCTTCTGCAACGACTTCATGTTGTGCCTGCAAAGATGTTGTCCTTGGTGGAAGGGAAGTCTTTTCAGGCCTTCAGATGTTCATCTCGGCTGCTTTGCTTTCTTGCAGAAGCACACAGCTGCCCTCAGTTCAACATCTCCCTTCTCAGCAGGGTCAGCCCCAGTTCCTTTAGTAAAAGCACACCGTCACCCTCAGCACTGGCATGAAAGCTCAGTCCCAAACAGCACATAACAGCAAATCCGTGCTCTCTCTCTCCCTTGTTCTGCTCCAAACTTTCCCACTTTCGCTTCTAACGCGGCGCTGCTCTGCTTGGCAGCTGAGACACGGAGGCACGTTATCTCCCATCACTGCACTCCACACTGTTTGCAGGGCATTAACCTTGGCTCTAAGTGTTTGGAATTGATCTTCTGCATTCCAATTCCAATGTTCAGCTCCCCAAATTGTTGGTCCATGGAGACTAATTTGCCACCGAAATAATCCATTTGTCACTGCAGGCTTTTAAAGCCAGGCTCCATTTTTGTAGCTGCAGACTGTAAATGCAGTAGGACTTTCTCCACGATTATTACTGACATCAATTTCAGAAGCTTCTCTGCACGGAGGGTGGGACGATAACAGAGCCTCTGGGGCAGGGGAGGGAGACTCAAGAGGCTCAGCTAATTGGAAATTAAAGGCAGGAGAGGAATTCCTCGGACTCTCAGCCCAAGCAGATGTCAAGCTTTCAGCACTTAGGAGACGTATTTAAACATAAAGACAGGAACGTCACACAAAAGCAGCCTTAGAATGACACTACCTCTCCTTCAGCTCGCAGCTTGAGGAAGGAAGCCAGCAGGGAAGCAGCCCCGTTGTGAGTCACTACATCCCATCAGGCCCCTTTCCCTGCCCACAGCTATGGCACACACAGCCCCTGCAAAGCCAGGAGCCCTGCAGCAGGCAGCTGTCACATGGATCAGAGACTCAGGGTGACTACGAGGGCCAGAGGGGCTGCCCCCCAAGCTGCAGGCTGGAGGTGTTTGTCCCACGGCTGTGTGCTCAGCTCACATCCACCCCTGCCTCCAAACTGCGCCGGGCAGCTGTGTGGGCTGGGTAATTGATCTGTGTTAAAAATAATGCAAGGAAAACAAAACAAGTTATTTTTAAGCCCAGCCAGCCCCGTGACCCAGGAGGCAGAGCTGTGAGACTGCCCCGAACCAAGGTGCCAGCTGTTCCACAGGTGTGTGCAGACAAACCCTCTAACTCCTCACAGATAAATCGGTTTTGTTTATTTTCCTCAGCTCTTCATTTTACTTTAATATTAAAATCCGTACATCTTTGGGAAAGGCATTGATTTAAAATTCTGCCCAGCTGTTCAGCTGTAGAACTACTATTCTTATTTAAAGCAGTCGCTTCTTTATATGAAGCTTGATCTTTTCTAGCTAACAAACACAAAGCGATTAAGTAAACAAACTTCAAGTCGTTTCCAGCAGCCAGCTTTGTAGTGCAAAGTTTACATCCAGTATCTATGCACCGAGGGACTATTTCAGTAAGGGGTGAAGACTTTGTGTGCTGAGTAACCAAACACTGAGCGTGCTGAGAGCGGGCTGGCGTGCCCAAGCAAGTAATGCAGAGGAGGAAAAAAGCACTGTCTTCAAAACTGCAAGCTGCAAGAGAGAAAAGAATGAAGTGGCAGGCAGGGCGCACGGCTACCAGCACCTGGCATGCTTACCATGTGCACGCTGCAAAGGCTGAGAGCTGGGTGAGAACCCAGCAGAGCTGCAGCCCTGGGATCTGTTTATAGGCAGTGCACAGAGATGAAGCTGTTGCAGTTTGCAGCAGACACTCACAGTTGTTGGAGAGTTGACAGCAACTTCCAGGCGGTTGTGGTGCCGGACTCCCTCATCTGGTGGTATCTTTATTTGTGATAAGAATGGAGCGTTGGGCTGGGAACACTTCTGGCACAGCTCTTGGTTAGGGCAGGTAGGATGCTGGGACTGCCACACAGCCTGCAGGCAGGGAGGTTCTGAGGGTCTGGTGTTGGCTGGAGCACCACGAGCTGACTCGAGCACTGTGCTTATTACAATCTTAGAGGATTATCTAGCTTCAGGAGATGGATGCTAGGAATTACTCTGGAGATTACAGGTAGCATGAAACAGAGGAATTGGGGGGATGAGAGCATTTGGGATTATAGGGAGGGCAAGGAGAACAAGCCGAGAAGTCGGCAGGAGGCAGAGTGCAGCAGTTAACACACAAGTTGTCAGCACGTCTCAAGCCAGCTCCAGCTTTGCCTGGGAAGGAAGCAGTCCTATGGAGTGCCTTCATCTTTCTCAGGGCAGCAAAATGCCATGTGGAGAGGGCACGTGTCCTGTATCAAACATGGAAGGGGTGGAAGCAGACTTGTCAGCGGTGCAGACAGCAAGCTTACATTGCTTCCAACCATTCCCTTACAGCTCCACAACAGCCTTGCTAGGTTCTGTTCGAGAGACATTTATTAGCAACAGTGAGGGGTGTAAAAAACAGACTAAAAACGGGATGAGCAATTTACAGTGTGAAATTATGTGAAGAATCTGCATTTACCATGAACTCTGTTTAGAGAAGGGCTACACCCAGGCTGGGGAGAGTTTGCACAAGGAGAATTCCTCGGAGAGCATACGCTGGAAACAGGGTCAAGAGTTAACGTGTGATGTAAATGGGCATTTCTGAGCCTGCTGGGTTGGCTGGACCCAGGTCACGAGACTAAAAAGAGTGACTTACACCATATTTGGATCTAGATTTTTGGAAATAAAGATAAATCCCACAAATGAACAATAGAGCCCCAGCTCCCTGAGAACGCTCTGCACACCACCAATGAGGCAATACTTACATGAACCCTATCTGCAAATTTCTTTACGGTGTGACCTGGTGAGCGTTTGCAGCTACAGAAAGAAAAAACACAGGGCGTTCTGCCTGGTTGACCCTTAGTTGAGAATAGAATGCAGCACTTGTTTGCACTCAGGCATGCACAGCAGCAGCGTGGGCCGTGCGGCTGCACTCAGGACTTGCAAGCTTAGGAAGAACAGGCAAAAACAAGTTGGTGCCCAAAGAGTTCACAATGGAAATGAAATGTTAAAACAACAAGTTATATGCAAACAAAACAAGGGCAGCTTGGGCAGGGCTGTACATTTCCTGAGCAGTCTCCTATGGCTGCTGCTGGGCACCCACACGAGCGGTGACTCCAGAGCTCACCTGGAAGAAGCCAGAGGAAAGGTGCACCCGTGGTGTTTCTGAGCTCATGGCAGAGCTGTGGTTGTCCAAAGATCTTCACAGTTAGAACAGTCCTCACTGAAAATTTACCATTTACGGAAACAACTAAACCAACAGATGAGGACAGGCTAAACCCTGAGCACTAGCAATATAAACACTGTCCCTTTTGGAAGAGCAAATGATGATATCACACATACATCACACCCTTCCTGTGTAAACAGGAGTGCCAACATGAGAAGAGATGCATTGTAAACTCTGTGTCCAGGCGGTTAGAGCTTTTTGGGCAGCTCCTGAAGGCTGCAGGAAAGATCAGTGAGGCCAAAAGCACTTCTTCGGGTCAGACTTGGGTGGTTTCAGGCACTTCCCTAGCTTCTCACAGCCTGGGGGAGACCAGTTCTGTTAAAAAACAAACGAAATACACAGAAAAAATGAAGTTAGACCTTCACACAAAGTATCTGCTGAGCCTTGTATCCTAATGGACCTTTTTTGCTTCTCACAACAATGCTCTTATGTCTTGTTTGAAAAACAGAACTCTTGCAGCTGATGCTCCTGGGATCATCCATTTTCCAACTTTGAATCCTATTCAAAAAGGCTTTAGGGAAGATTACAAATCCTTATGCATCAGATGATTC